ATTATTTCTAATGCATAGATGTTTTCAATTGATAAATGGAGGTAACATACTTTCAGCAAGTCATGTAATAAACACCAATGAAATAATGGTTCTCTTAACATATAACAACATGAATGTTATTTTATTCAGTCGTATATTTTTTTTCCTTCATATCAACAGTTGGTTACAATATAATTTTATTATTTTTTTTTTATTATTATTTCTAGATCTCGCATTTTTTGATTGATCAACTATGCGAGCTAAGTGGCGTAAGAAACGTATGCGTCGTTTGAAACGTAAACGCCGTCGTAAGTTACAGATTAAAAAAAAAGATTATTGTTGTTTATTGTTTTTTTTTTTCAAATTTATTAGGTATGCGTGAGCGTTCGAAATAAACTATTTCATCCAAATTGAAACAAAGCAATTGGCATCAATCAACAACATGATTTTATGTTCCGTCGATGAACTGTCTTATGTTTTTCGTTTTGTTCTCATGTACTTTTGTTTCACGGATGTTTAAATAGACAAGAATAAAAAAAATACACCAATAAACATCAGTTGTAAAACTGAAACAAAAAAAAACAGATTATTTCATTTTTTAAACGTAGTTTTAAAGGCTACTTAGATTACAACAATGCATTTTTTGAAAAAACAAAAATATTTTCCAGTCACTATCGAGATATTCTAGGCTTATTACAAATAATTATTTTCGATCAAGTTTGAATTATAGAAATTCAAAGATTTCATACGATTGTTGAGAATGAATAGCTAAACGATAATATATGTCGAATATTTCATGGTCAAATCAAGAATTATACAATAGAAAGTATTCGAGATGGAAAATAAGTTTTATTTAAAATTTGATAATATAATAATATTTATTTTGTGTTTAGATTATTTCTGTACGATTTCGATGTGCTAGTCATGGCAAGGTTCAAAATATGTAAAGATGATCTCTTGCATTTATCTATCCTTTTTATTTAACTAATAATGTATGATCTATCGATTGTTTAGTTATAATAATTGCTGCAATTATGTTACACTCGATCGATCATATTCATACAATTAAAAAGTGATTATTAGTTCATCTAGATTATATCAAAAGGAATATTTTCTCAAACAAAAGCGATTTAAAAAAAATCCTTGAATTGTATTTCTCTTTTGTCATCTATAGTATATTTATTAAATTAATCAGTCGATATATCATTAGTTTTCTTTTATTTGAAATAGTTATACAACATTGAATTTCATTGTATATTTAAAATCATCTTTTCCATTAATTCCTGCTGTTATTTGATCACCTCGTTTAACAGGTCCAACACCAGATGGTGTTCCTGTTAAAATTAAATCTCCATGTTCAAGTGTAATATATTTTGATATAAAAACAATTAAATCTGGTACTGAAAAGATCATATCACATGTATGACCATTTTGTTTTATATTTTCATTAACATTAAGCCAAAGATTAACAGATGATAAATCAATTTGATTTTTCTCAATAAAATCTCCACATGGACATGATGTATCAAAACCTTTAGAAAGTAACCATGGATGACCTTGTTTTTTTAAATCATCTTGAATTTTTCTACTAGTCATATCAAGTGCTAAACAATAACCACCAATATTTTCTTCAGCTTCTTCTTTTGAAACATTTTGACATGTTTTATCTATTATAACACCTAATTCAACTTCATGATGAAGTTCATCCCACTCAGATGGAATCTAGATTAGATTTTTTTTAAATAAGATTTTTTGAATATACTAGCGTTTTTTTACTTTAATATCATTTGGTTCAATAACAAGAGCAGTCGATGGTTTCATAAATATTATAGGTTGAGTTGGTACAACCTGAAGAAATATATAAATTCATTGTTAGAAATGTGAATATACTTACATTACCTAATTCTTTCGCATGTTCACTAAACAAATAATATGATTATTAGTATAGCAAAAAATAAATAAAACGAAATCTTTCTACCTATAATTACGTCCAATACAAATAATTTTTCTGCAAATTGAACGAAAATCTTTTAATGTATCGGTCATTTTTAGATTTATCTCTTTTTGAAATAATCTTATCTATATTCTACTTGTATGTATGTGAAGATTCGATTGACGAATCGTTGCATCAATTGTAAACTAGGTAGATGTCTATTTTTTTACATATTTAAAACGAAATTTAAATTTAATACTATATTCGATATTGATGAAAAACTTCAACATGTAATAAGCTACTAATGAAGAAATATCAAAAGTTGATTATTTCTTTTATGTTTACCGACTATATATAACAATGTGAACTTCAAAGTAAAAGTTGTACTATATCGAAATCTATTCTGCACACTATTTATTAGTATTATAATAAGTTACATGATCAACCAACCAAATTCCATTCTTTTCTTTCTTTAATGTAATTATTTATAGTTTCTACTTGATCAACCTAACTGTTATTGACGTTGTTATTTTTATCTATAAATTATTATTTTTCTCTTTGAAACCGTTTCATTTAACTGTTATACTTCAGTGCGCATAGATACAACAAACTTATTACATACAAAAACGCAACATGCCTGGATCAAAAGGAGGTTCTTGGAAAGTACTTGGCTTAGGACGAGGTGAAGAAACTGCACAAAAAGCTGAAAAACATCTACATGAATTAAACTATCCAAATGCGAAAGTTATCGGGCTTGAAAACGACAAAGCTAGTGATGATAAGTTAATTGAACTTCTTAAAACTAATGATTGGGATGGTGTATCTATTGGTAAGTTAATCATGATATTTTCAAGTGATGTATAGATATTCTTTTAGGTGGTGGTATCAATGGATATGATGATGATTTTCCAAGAGAAACGGAAACTCTCTACTGGTTTAATCGTCTTGTTAATCTTGTTCATCAATATGCACCCAAAGCTAAACTTATATTTGTTACAAATCCTACTGATCTAGTTAATTCATTTGTAAGAGTACTTGATTCTGCAGAGACACCCGTTGAAAGTATTTAAATATATATGTATTGTCTTCATTAAAAGTTTAAATAAATTTCGTATTTGTTTTTTGCTTTTACATGAAATCATATTAATCTATTTTTTTACATGTTTAAAACGAAATTTAAATTCGATGTTGATGAAAAGTTCAATATGTAATAAGCTAATAATAAAGAAATACCAAAAGTTGATTATTTCTTTTCTGTTTACCGATTATACGTAACAATATGAATTTCAAAGTAAAAGTTGTATTATGTCGAAATCTATTCTGCACACTATTTATTAGTTTTATAATAAGTTACATAATCAACCAACCAAATTCTGTTCTTTTCTTTTTTGACTGGAATTATTTATAGGTTGTACCCGATCAACCTAGCTGTTATTAATGTTCTTATTTCTGCCTATAAATTATTGTTTTTCTCTTTGAAACCGTTTCATTTAATTGATATACTTCTATACTCGTACATACAAAAAACAACATGTCTGGTTCAAAAGGAGGTTCTTGGAAAGTACTTGGCTTAGGACGACGTGAAGATATTGCACAAAAAGCTGAGAAATATCTACATGAATTAAATTATCCAAATGCTAAAGTTATCGCACTTGGAAATGATAAAGCTGGTGATGATAAGTTAATTGAACTTCTTAAAACTAATGATTGGGATGGTGTATCTATTGGTAAGTTAATCATGATATTTTCGAGTGATATATAGATATTCTTTTAGGTGGTGGTATCAACGGATATGATGATATTTTTCCAAGAGAAACAGAAACTCTCTATTGGTTCAATCGTCTTGTTAATCTTGTTCATCAATATGCACCCAAAGCTAAACTTATATTTGTTACAAATCCTACTGATCTAGTTAATTCATTTGTAAGAGTACTTGGTGCTGCAGAAACACCCATTGAAAGTATTTAAATAAAATATTGAGATTTAGTAACAAACAATAAATATTCAAACATATATATATTGTCTTCATTAAAAGTTTAAATAAATTTAATATTTTTTTTTGCTTTTACATTAAATGACATTAATCTATTTTTTGGTAATAATTTAAAAGAATTCTTCAAACAATAATCGAAACTTTGGATTAGTAGATGTATTCGAAAGTCCATTGTATACCGTTCATATGTTTGGAAATACTTCGAAAGTTGAAAAAGCATGAGTTTCGAGCAAGTCTAGCATTTAGGTTTTCAATACTATGCAGGAATAAGAATAAAAAAAGCTGCTGTGATATTGACACAATATAGTTTAAAACGTTTTATTTTTTCTATGTATCTTAGAAACTGAAAAAACATAAGCGACCTCCATTACCTTCTACGGTCGAAAGTCTCAAAACTTCTACGAACGCAGAATTATTTTCGTACCAGAGAATACATTGTCGAAAGCTAATTGTATTCTTGAAATTAAAAAATATGAAAAAATATGATATTTTATTATCATAGCAATTTTAACAATCAAATGATCTTTGTACATATGTATTTATTTCATATATGTAAATGCAGACAAATATAATTTAGTTCTATACAATCAATTCATTTTCTATCTATATTGATCAAAATCATAAAAACTTTTATCATTAAATAACATGACAAACGACTGTTTTAAAAGTATTAATAGCTTACATAATTATTTCCTTAGTGCTACAAGGTACAACTAATTATTCTCCCTGAAGAAATTCAGATAAAGGTAACAAGTATCTATTACTTCATCTAACTGCTGTCTAAATTTCATTGATATAAAAATTTATATATATACGTATATGTATGAGATCATTCTAAACGACGCAATGTGACACACCGACATCTATCTGTTCTCATTTGTCATCTGATCAATAATAATCAACGAATAGATTGTATTCTTATTCTAGGTTCTTTTTATTCTCGGTCGTTTTGTTCGTTCTTTCTTGGTTGTTTTTATTATTTTTCTGGTATCTATGACTCACCAATACACTTTTGGTTTTTAAGTGTCAGCTGATTTGACTTATGTTTGATTGTTGTCTTTTACTATCTGATAATAAAATATTCTGTTTATATATATCTTCATACATTTTTTTCTTTCTACTCATATTATATATTTTAGAAAGTTATTTATTTATTTTTTCATACAAAAAAAAACGCTAACTGCCTGAATGTCCTATGTATCATCAATTGAATTAAGAAAAGTTCGTCCTGAAGTTGTCAAGTATGTTTCGTAACTATTAAAATTTCATACACATTTTTTCTCTCTAGTGAAAAAAGTGTTCTTGAATCAGTTGTTGATCTATTTCATGATGTAGTAGAAAAAGTTCCTCAAGTGAGTTATTGTTTTTTTTTCATATATTTATTTTATTTTTTAAATTAGGCTTATGCAATATCTTCTCGTTCGACTAATACTGATCAATTGGAACCAATAGAATGGATGCGTTTTTTATCTAATGCACATGAATGGCATTCATCAATACGTATTGATACACTTGTTTTATTAATTGCATATAAAAGTGGTTTAACATTATGGACAATTGAAACAAATGGTATAGCTAACGAACTATTTTCCATTCGTGAACATAATTTAACATCTGTATGTTTATTAATAACAAATTCTTCACAAGATGATCCATATATTTCTCAACGTCCTCTATTTGCATTTGCTAAATCAGCTGGACCACCATCTGTACAAATACGTTCATTAAAAAATGATCAACAATCTATTAAAATACTTAATCTACCTGGTATTGGTACACAATGTGAACCATTATGGATTGAATCAAATAAATCTGTACTTATATGTGCAACACATACATTTATTGTTGGTTATGATATAATAAAATTTGATGAAAAATTTTTCATATCAAATTGTTATTCATCAATACCATATACATTATCAGCACGATGGTTAGCATTTGTTGATTATCGCCTTTATTTAATTCATCAATCATCAGGTGGTTTCAATGGAACTATATCTGAACAACATGTTTCATATACAGGTGTGATGTTAAATGCAGCTAAATCTATATCAAAAAGTGTTGTTAAAATTGGTGAAAGTGTTCTTGGATATGGTGGTAATAATAGTTTACCAGTAAATAATACAACTATAAATGAGAAAACATCAAATCAACAACAATCATCAACAACAAATGGGAATACAAATTCAACAAGACATCGACATGGATCTGGCAAAGATGAACCACAACCAGGAATTGTAACCATTGTTGATACAATTAAATTATTTGGAGTAAAATAAAAACAAAAAAAGTATTCTTAAGACTATGATAAAATTTCTTATTTTTAGACATCTATTCATGATGAAAGACAAAATTGGATAATTGCACATTTTCAAGCACATACAGAACCTGTTGGACATTTACAATTTAATCCTAGTGGACATTTACTTGTAACTTGTGATTCAAGTGGACATTATTTTAATGTATTAGAAATTCAAGCATCACCATATCGATGTACTAGAACATATATTAAACATTTATATACTTTATTTCGTGGTGATACAGATTGTAGAGGTAAAAACTTTAGAAATTTCTTTTATAAGACTAAAAAAAGGAAATTTGTGTTTACGCAATCTATTTATAAAGTAAAAGGATAAAGAAACATGGGTAATGATGTGTAATAGTTTCATAAATCCCTATTAGTTACGGTTTAATAAACTGAAATTTAATGTTTTCTTTTTTAGTTTCTCATATGACATTTACTACTGATAGTCGATGGCTTGCTGTATCAACCAAACGTGGTACAACACATTTATTTGCTATTAATCCATATGGAGGTAACTATCTCACAAGTTTTAATAACATAGAAAATTCATTAGGGTACTATATTTATTTAAGGTGCTGTTAATGTTCGAACACATACAAAAACTCATGTCGTAAATAAACCAAATCGTCATAATCGTACTACTGGTTTTGATGAACAGCCAATACGTCAATCAACTAATACGAATAATGATAACGGAACAAAAAAAGATACGCCAATAGTTTCTTTAACGAATTCATCATCAAATGTAATTAATGGTCATAATAGTAGTTATATGAATTCTCTACGTACAAAACGAACAAATAGTGAATGTGTATTTTCAACAGCTGTTACATTAATACGTCAACCAACTGATAGTTTTGTTAGTGGTCTTAGTGCACCATTTAATATCGATTCATTATGTTTAGCATCAACATTTGGAATTTCACGTGGTTTTCTTAATCCAGAAGATATGATACATCATCAAGAATATCCACCAAAAGCATGTAGTTCATTATTTATTATTAGTTGGCATGGTCGTTTAATTGAATATGTTCTCGAACCAGTACCTGGTAAATAATTTTCTAGAAAAATTGATTCATTTCTTTTTCATTGATTACTAATTATATTAGATACAAGTAAACATGGTACACGTGTAACATCAGAAACACCACTTGCACTTAAAGCTTCTCCAAAAGCACAATGGCCACTTCAAAAGTAAATCTTTCGAATATATGATTTATATAATAATGATTGTTATTATTTAAGATTAACTACTTTGCCGGAAGTTCGTATGTCTATTGGGTATTCATTTTTATCTCAAGGACATCGACCAATATCTGCTAATAGAGTTCATTCAAAAGATGATTGGCTTCGTCAAGTAAAATATATGAATATGATTTAATAGAAATTATCTTATTTATGTCTAGGTTGAAATGAATACACATGTAGGTCCACATCGTCGTTTATGGATGGGTCCACAATTTCAATTTAAACATTATTCAGAAGCAACTGTTAGTGTTTGTCATCCAGATTCAAATGTATTTACAGCGGATCTACCTCAAACATCAATGAATATTGTTGATGCTGATTTAAAATGTTTAGAGTAAATTAATAAATATTACTTAAATAATATATATATTCAATATATATATTCTAGCATGCAACGATCGAAATCTACACCAGTACATGTACCAAATATGCATAAAGATATAGCACCAGCTTATATTGAAGTTGGTTCTGGTAGTTTTCAAGTACGAAAATTTCTAGATTTTTTTTCGTATGAAATTATTATCATTTAATTGTAGGATGCTCCGTCATTGAGTATTTATGGTAGTTCATTCGATAGTTTAAAATCTGATTTTGAAGTTGAACTAATGGAAAAATTAGCTGATGCTGCTGTTGATATACCATTAAAAAATGGTTTGTTAAATAATAAATAACATATATTTCACTAAAACAAAAATTTGTCTTTAGGTGGTAATAATGATACAACTGATTCATTAAGTTCATCAACCTGCAGTAGTACAGTTATACGTCCATTACAAATCAATCATTCAATCGAAAATATGATCCCATTTCCTGATACAAGTGATCCGACTGATTGATTTTTTTCTTGCACATATATATATATGCGTATATATTTAATGTATTTTCACCTCAGGCTGTTTCGAAGTTTTCGTTGGCTTCCGCACATTTTTCTTCTTTTAGTTAAAAAGATCATAATTGTAATCATGTATTTCTTTTTTTTCTTTTCTGTCCCGGTTCCGTGCATGTATCATGTCTAGTCTGTTGTATGTTTCTATTTGTATCACAACTTATGATGTATAAAATTATAAAAAAAAAACACAAAAACAGACAATTTTAGCGAACAGTAAAAAGATAATCGATCAGAAATTTTGATTGAAGTGTTTTTCTTTTTTTGTCGATCTCTAGTCACTAGTTTGCTGACTCGATTATACCTTTTTTTTCTGTGTATCTACGACTTCTTTATTTTCTACTTTGTATATATTATATAAACTACTGTGCATTTCTTTGCCTTTTTTCTTTTCTTTATTCTTAATAAAAAAAACCTCAAAAATTTATAACGAGTTCAATATTAACAACAGCCATATATATATGATTTACAAAAATTTGATACTCAGTAACGAAATGAATATAATCTAAATCAAAAAGTATACTATTTTCAGCCACAAATTCACTAAATAATGTATCCATTGTTATTATCTCTAAATCTAAGAAGACAATCTTTCTATGAAGGATAGTTTTCCAATGTGAATTGTTTCGGATATTTGTACTGAAAAATATTTTATACGACGTCGTATTCTATTTGTTGCATTAATATATATATATGTGTGTTTACGTGATAAAACAAACCCGCTGTTGCCAATTTATATCAATGGAAATGGCTGAATGTGAGCTACAGCTGTGCACATTTCTTTCGTTATATTTCAATATAACACAACAAAAAACTTTTTTGCCCATCACAATCGTTTCTCCTGCATTTTTCGCGTAGCAACGAGTTCTGTTTACAGCAATGTTAACTGAAGAGACTAGCGCAACTAGCAATAATACAAGTACAACTGGAAAAACTCCGTCAGCAGCAGCATCACCGGCTGAAGTTCAGCAGTTTACTTCCTATTTACTTCGTGTAGTTCCATTAGCGGCCGATTTAAATTCGACAAATGAAACTGATGAATTCAAACGTGCTCTAGATGAAAAACCTACAGCTATTGATGGAATAAGGCGATTTTTAAGTGATCCGCAATGTATCGTATTTTTTATCCGTATTATTCAACAAGGAAAAGGTAAACAATCTCCTTTCAGTATCATAATAGTTTAGCTTTCGAATCCGTCCGTCTTAAAGGCATGTAAATCCATGTCATAGCTAATAAAGTAACATATATGAACAACAGTAATAGTCTTATAGTGATCTGCGAGTATTGTTAGACAATTTACCTTGAGATCCAAAGATAAATTCATCTGTTTAGATGAAGAACAAGATGGTGTTGAAGGAGTCGATGCAAATGGTTCAAATTCTGTTCAATTTGAATTTTCAACTGAAACAACATATGCAGCACAAAAAGGCATAAGGTAACTAAGAAATCTTTTTATTTTTGTAAATAATTCATATTTAATTGATTAAGTGTGGCATTAATAAAAATAACACCGACAATTGATATGGATAAAAAAATATCTCAACAAATTCATCTTGCAACATTTACTAATCGAGCACCGGCAGAAGTATTTCGAACATTTCTTTCTCAAGCAATGACACCGTATTTAAAAAGTTTTCTTCGACAACAAAAAGAAAGGTTTTACTATTTAATTTTATGATGATAAATAAAATTTATTTTGATATATTTTTTTAGAGATCGAGAAAAATCAATTGTTGTTTTAGAAGAAAAATTAAATGAATTAGAAGCAAATTTATTACAAATGAATCAAACAGTTAGTATTCCTGATGTTATTCTTACACCACATGCATCTGTTGCTCAAGTACTTCGAGAATGTAAAGAAAAAAATCAACGACCTAATGGAGATTTATTCCGTGAGAAGGTTGAAGATTCAAATTTTCTTAATCAATTACAAGCAACTGTTAATCGATGGATTCGAGAAATTCAAAAAGTATTTTATTTAATTTTTTGGTTGAAATATTTTTCTTTAAATCATTTTAGGTAACAAAACTTGAACGTGATCCATCTACAGGTTCAGCAATGCAAGAAATAACATTTTGGTTAAATATTGAACGTGCATTATATAAAATTCAAGAACAAATGACTAGCCCTGAAGTTTTATTAACATTAGATGCCTTAAAAATTGGTAAACGTTTTCATGCAACAATTAGTTTTGATTCGGATACTGGTTTAAAAGAAGCATTAGATAAAGTGAAAAATTATAATATATTAATGAAAGATTTTCCAATGCATGATCTTTTATCTGCCAATGATTTACCAAAAATAAAAAATTCTATTACAGTTATTTTTAATCATCTTAAACGTGTTAGAAATACACGTTATCCAGTTAATAGAATTTTACGTTTTATTGAAGCTATATCACGAGATCTTAATGTACAAATGACTAAAGTAAATTAATTTCACATAATATAATAGTTACTTAAAAAATATCCTTCTATATATATAGATTCTTTCAACGGTACATTTAATTGAAATTCCAATTATGAATTTTGATCAAATTCTAAATGAATGTATGGAAATATTTTCTTTATGGGTATAAAACAATCTAATCTTTTTCTTTGTAATAATAAATAATTTATTTTAGGATGAAGAATATGAAAAATTTCAAATATTACTTCGAGATATGACAAAAAAGAATGCATCTAATGCCCAACAACTTAAACAAGCTTGGAAAATAACACCTGAACATAAGAAATTACAAACACGTTTAGAACACATTAAACAATTTCGTCGTCAACATGAACAATTTCGTTCTGTTATTGAACGTCTTCTATCTAAACAACAAAATCAACAACAAATTGTTGATCCATCCGTATCAACTGTTCAAATAGTTGATCAATCCGATTCAACTGCTGTTGAAGAAATTCAACAAGCATTTGAAAGTTTAAAACATATTGATATACTTGAATGTTCTCCTGAAGGTACACAACTTTGGAATGATACAATGAAAATTTATGAAGAACGTATTGAAAAAGTTGAACGACGTATAACATCACGTCTTCGTGAACAATTAGCTAAAGCTCGTAATGCTAATGAAATGTTTCAAATATTTGCACGTTTTCATGATTTACTTATACGACAACATATTCGAAATGCTATACGAGAATATCAAACACAATTAATACAACGAGTTAAAATTGATATTGATCAGTTACATGAAAAATTCAAAGCAAAATATTCAGCAAGTAAAGCAATGAAAATGAGTCGAATTACTGTTGATATACCAGTTACAACGGGTTCAATTATATGGGCAAAACAAATTGAAAAACAACTTTTAAGATATTTAAAACGTGTTGAAGATGTTCTTGGTACAGGATGGGAGCAGCATGTTGATGGACAACGTTTAAAATTTGAAGGTGATAGTTTTAAACAACGTCTTAATACTACAGCTATTTTTGAAGATTGGCTTGAAAAGGTTTTTTTTTGGAATTGGATTTTTTATTATAAAATATTTTTTTTCTTGTATAGGTTTCAAAGAAAAGTATGAGTGTTACTGGTTCTATTTTTAGTCTTGAAACTTTACGAAGTACTAAAGGAACATTACTTCGATTAAAAGTTAATTTTACACCAGAAATAATTATGTTAACAAAAGAAGTATTGATTTTCAATTCGTCTATTTTATTTGAATGTTGATTTATTGTTTTTTTAGGTAAGAAATTTAAAATGGTTAGGTTATCGAGTACCATTACCACTTGTTAATAAAGCTCATCAAGCTAATCAATTATATCCATATGCTGTTGGTTTACTTGAAAATGTTCGAGCTTATGAAGTTTCAAATGCGAAAGTAAAATAAAAATTTGCTTTTTGTAATTATCTTTATTCTTCTTTTTTTAGATAATTGCTGATCATGGTCAAGATTATTTAGTTGGTAGTATGAAAAAAGATATTCAAAATTTAATTGTTGAAGGAACAAAATTAACTTGGGAATCATATAAATTAGAACCATATGTTCAACGATGTATTGAAGCATTTACACGTTATAATGAAAATGTATTTCAAAAAGAAAATTTTATTAATAATTAAAAATTTAATTTAATTTTAGGTTGATGAAATTCTTCGTTTGGATAATCTTATGTTTACACATATAAATGAATTAGATGTATGTTCATATGAAATTGATATGTTTGCAGAATCATTAGAACAAACACAAAAAATTGTTGACGAATTTTGTTTACATGATTATTCAAATTTTCCAAAATGGATTGGAGTTATTGATGAAAAAATTGAACGAAAATTATTTGATCGGTTACAAGCAGCTATTACATTATGGAAACAAGCATTAATTAGACATGAGAAAGGAAAAGCAAGAGATAAAAAACGAATGCGATTAAAAGTAATGAATTAATATTTAAATTTTACATTCGACTAAATTAAACTAACTACGAAATTCATAGATTGACATATAAGACAACGTTTCAAATTGAAAATTCGTATCTCGATACATATCTTGCTGTTTGTTTCCAGTTAGAGGGATCAAAAATGAAACATACCTTGCTGATGTAGGTTCTCTGGACGATTTTCTTGAGATAGCGGTTATCCTAAAAATGACACGGTTAATAGACTTATAATAATCAGTTCTAACGAAGGAACTATCTGAGATGACATCTTCCGTTTTTCTTCAATCATATTTCACTAGATAGAATCTAATTAGATAGTAGAATTGTACATATAGAGTTCTTCTATAGCTTAGTCTTTACTAAAAATTTCAGCAGTTTTCGACAAAATCTGCTGGAAAAATCAGCCTGGTCAAAGTTGTAGTTATGGATCTTTTTTAGGAAAAAGAACGAACATCTAGGAACCTTTGTATCTGCAAACAATAATACTGAAAACTAATATATAATCAGATCTCTATATGTACGCAAAGTGTCAGACTAAATTTCGAAAATACGATTTTGTCGAATCTCGAGGTCCGCTACAGTTTTTAAAAGACAACGACTGTGGGAAAATCTCTGTAGGCTTTCTACTATTTAGTTAGACTCTATGAAGTGAGATATGATTGAGCAAAAACAGAAGGTAATGGATAAATACGTCAATAACAGTGAAGAGATTAAACAGGGTAATTTATGCTATTAATTTAGTTTATAGAATCACTATATATATTGAACTACACATATGAGATTAGTCTCGATACATGATGAATAATAATTCGCGTACTAATGAGTACTTGGTGGAATGTATGAATATCACATAGTTTTTGTGCTGAATAAAAATGGCATAAAACTAAACAGAATTGAGATTACAACAGAATGATAATATTATGCTCCTTTATATTGATATTCAGTTTCGTGGAAGAAAAGTGATTTCTAAGATTTTGCTTACACATATTAGACAAGCAATAACTATTGTAATCTTTTCTTACTTAGCATAATACAATATTTTTTGTGAGAATGAAACTTTAGATAGCAACTCTTCTAACATTTATTTATTTATTTATTTTTACCTAGAAAGTTGTTCTCGAAATTCGAGTTGTTAATCAAATGTTGGTATTAGTTCCACCATTTGAATCAGCTCGTGAACAATTATATAATTCATTTTTCGATTGTCAATCAGGTATAAACTTAATTTGAATCACTGAGTATTTCATACAATTATTTCTTTTTTAATCTTAGTTATAACTTCACAAAAACGCATTAAAAATAGTCGTTATCATGTAAGATTATTTATTCTATTGATATAAAGTTCATTACTTCGAACAAAAAATTTTATTTCAGGTTAATGCCGAAATCGATACAGAAGAAGAAGATTTAATATATAATGATTTATTTACAAAATTTCCTGAAGAAAGTAATGCATCAATTGGTGAAGCTTATGATACTATTGAACAATTGATTACTGAAGCTGAAACTTATTTTCAAGTAAAATATTTATTATCATACTTGTATTTTAAAAATTCAATTTTTACTTATATCATAGGGATGGCTTAAATATCAAGTTTTATGGGATTTAGAACCAAATGATGTCTTTCAACGGTTAGGTACTAATGTTCAATCATGGTTCGAATGCTTAAAAGATATTAAGTATGTATTTAATATTTTAACATAATTAATTAATCATAATTTTTCAAATTTTTTTTAAAAGAGAATCTCGTAAAACACTTGATACTAATGAAGCTTATAAATCCTTTGGTCCACTAATTATTGATTTTTCTAAAATTCAAACAAAAATCGGTGTTAAATATGATAATTGGCATCAAGATTTACTTCGAAAATTTGGTCAAATTATTCAAACAGTTGCTAATGATTTTCATACAAATATTTCCGAAGTATTCATATTTCTAATTTTAATTTTCTATTTTCTTTACTTTTTATATTAGCATCGAAGTAATCTTGAAACAAAATCTCTTGAATCTGGTACTCTTGATGATAGTGTACAATTAATGGATACAATTGAAACAGTTCGTGAAACACAAATTGATAATGAAATGAAAATAAAACAATTACTTGAAGCTCAACGTTTACTTGAACGACAACGTTATTCATTTCCAGAGAATTGGATATCTGTAGATACGATTAAAAATTCTTGGACATCAATGAATGATGTACTTAAACAAAAAGAACGAGTTATGGAAACAAAAGTTTGTAATTCAAAACTAAAATAATATATTTATATTAAAAATTATTTCTTTTGCTAGTTGGATACTATTCAAGAAAAAGTTAAAGTTGAAGCACAAACTATTGATACAAAAACAAAAGAACTTTTAGAAGATTGGTCAACTAAAAAACCGATTGGTGTATGTAGAAATATATATATATCATAAATCTCAGTTAATATTTTGTTTTTATTAGGGTGATTTAAAACCGCGTGATGCTATTCGTCAATTAGCTTTATATGAAACAAAACTCAATGAACAATTAGAAAAACGAACAGTACTTAATAAAGCTAAACAAAGTGTTAAAATGCAAGAATCAGGTAAATTTCGAATGTATTCATTAATAATCTCTATGGAAAGTAGTAAGCTCGGGGTACTCGCGCTTGTAATTCTACTAGAATACACTAGATTTATCACGTTCTGTGGTTTTCTTTTGCATGTACAGCTTCACATATGCCACTCGACAAAACCTAAGAAATGATAATTTTTTGCTAGATTATTTCTTGACTTTGTACTAATCGATAAGATGCCGATCTCGATCGTAAATTTCATCTGATTGAGTTTTCAGAATTAGAAACATGAAATTGAATAAATGTCTCAAATTGATGTAAGAGAGACAAAAATGAAAAAACGCAAAGATTAGATTCGACCATCAACATACTGCCATTTTGGTAACAGAGCATCTAAAAATACTGTGCAACAATACTCGATTGAGCACTACCTATTTACTGCGCACTTTTCAGCAGGTTCCTCGCTCGAGTATCTAATACATACCTAAGAGTTTTTTAAGGTACTTCAGTTTCCTACAAATCCTGTGACATATTAGTAGCAGGGTACCTTGAACTCAGTACATTCATATGGGATAGAGAAACTTTTATTTTCTTATCGTGGATTTTCTACTTTCACAAAGTCTATTTTACATTTTTTTTTAATTAACATACATATTGATTCTAAATGATGTAGGCCAAGCTGATCATTTTGAAAAACGTATACGTGCTGATCTTGCTGAACTTGAGGAAATTCGCAATGTCTGGAAATCTCTTGAAAATGTTTGTAATCGATTAGAAGAATTAAAAGATATACAATGGCTTACAGTACAACCAAAAAAACTCAAAACTAATCTTGAAGAATTACTTACTTCAATGACAGCTATGGTTTCATCTGTTAAAAATTATCATTCATATGGTGCAGTTAAAACTAATATAGAAAATTATCTTAAAGTAAATTAACTGATTGTTTTTCTTTCAATATAAAATATTTCATTCATTTCTATAGATGATTCCTTTTATAAATGAATTAAAATCTGAAGCATTAAAAGATCGTCATTGGAAAGATATGGTTAAAATACTTGATTTAACAATGACATGGAATAATATGGCTGATTTAACATTAAGAGATATTTGGGATCAAGTAGATAATTTTAAAAAGAATGAAAATGTATTACGTGATATAATGATAAATGCTCAAGGTGAAAAAGCTTTAGAAGAATTTCTAAAACAAATAAGTGAACAATGGAAAGTTTATCAATTAGAATTAATTGATTATCAAAAGAAATGTAAAGTTATTAAAAGTTGGGATGATTTATTTACAAAAGCAAAAGAAAATTTAAGTAATATATTAAGTATGAAATTATCACCATATTTTAAAGTAAATATAAGAAAAACATTCTTTCATTAACTAATAATAATCATCATAAATAATAGGCATTTGAAGCAGAAACACTTTCTTGGGAAGATAAACTTAATCGTATTATAAATATATTTGATATTTGGATTGATGTTCAACGACGTTGGGTATATCTTGAAGGTATATTTACTTCATCGACTGATATAGCACAATTATTACCAAATGAATCACAAAAATTTCAAAGTGTAGCTAATGAATTCGTTGGTTTATTGAAAAAAGTTGAAAAATCTCCATTAGTACTTGATGTTATTGCAATACCAAATGTACAAAAATTACTTGAACGTTTAGCTGATTCATTAACAAAAATTCAAAAAGCTCTTGGAGAATATCTTGAACGACAACGTGCAGCTTTTCCACGGTAGAAATTATACATATATAGAATTTAAAATGACATATTTTTATTATTATTAGATTTTATTTTATTGGTGATGAAGATTTATTAGAAATGATTGGTAATTCAAATAATTTATTACGTTTACAAAAACATTTTAAAAAAATGTTTGCTGGTGTTAATTCATTAATTATTAATGAAGAAGATCCAACAATAATCGAAGGTGTTCAATCAAAAGAAGGTGAAGAAGTGAAATTTTTCAATCAAATATCTATTAAACAACATCCAAATATAAATGATTGGTTATCAAGAGTAGAAAAAGAAATTAGTTTAACTTTAGCTAAATTACTTGCACAATCTATTCCACAATTAACTGCAATACAAAATAATCTAACTGATACACAAGGATTTATCAACTGGCTTGATCAATATCAAGTATGATTAATAAAGTTCTGAATCATAACATAATACTTACATATCTATAGTCTTTTGTATAGCGGGCGAACTAAATGGGCGGCACCTACCCAAAGAATGGGATTTAGAACACTGTATATTTAGATGATGATAACTATCAGTTTTACGTCTGCAATAGCGTTAGCTCTAACTATGTAAAACACGATATACTTCGGTATCATGCCTTACTTTAGAGCATAGAATTTCAACAAGGAAATACTCCATAGATATTTTAACTAGACTTGAGCTATATGCATGACTTCTGATAGGACCTTGCCGCCGAGTGTCACAGTATGTGATGATCTTCAGGCCGCATTTCGCACGCCTTGTGATGGATTACTTAATTAACTAAAATATCTGTGGGTACGAGGGTACAAATTTCTATGACTAACACTTCAACCGTCCGTTTAGTTTGTATTTCACAATCAGTGTATATTTATTACGATAAATTGAGATTCCTCTAAATTTTATCTTTCAGTAAATATACTCAAGTGAAGATTTCTCAGAACTAACTATAATATCACTCTGCATTGCGATAATAATTTAGAAGATTGAATCTTTACAATTTGTTTTTGATTAGGCTCAATTAGTTGTTCTTGCGTTTCAAGTCTCATGGTCAGAAAATATCGAACGTTTACTTGTATTTGGAAAAAATGTTGATTTACAACCAGCACTTCGACAAATTGAATCGACACTTGGTATGTTAGCTGATTTAGTTCTTGCTGATCAACCAACTGTTCGACGACGAAAACTTGAACATCTCGTACGCATAATTTTCTTTTCAATGAATATTTCTTTTCAAAAAACAAAATTGATCTTTGTAGATTATTGAACATGTGCATAAACGTGATGTAACTCGAGCATTAATAGATAAGAAAGTTGATTCAGCAAGTAATTTTGAATGGCTTGCACAAATGCGTTTATATTTTGAACCAAGTAATCAAAATGTTCTTGAACAACTTAAACTTCGAATGGCTAATGCTGAATTTCATTATGGTTTTGAATATCTTGGTGAATAGAAAGACATACATTCTAAACAATTCTAATTAAGTGATTTAATTTAATTTCTAGGTTTACAGGATCGTCTTGTTCAAACACCATTAACTGATCGATGTTTCTTAACAATGACACAAGCTTTACATGCTAAATTTGGTGGATCACCATTTGGACCTGCTGGTATGTAGAAAAAAACATTTCTTTTTTTTTGTTCTAATCAATAATTAATGATTTAATTAGGAACGGGAAAAACTGAATCAGTTAAAGCACTTGGAAATGCTCTTGGTCGTTTTGTACTCGTATTTAATTGTGATGAAGCATTTGATTTTCAAGCTATGGGTCGTATATTTGTTGGTTTATGTCAAGTTGGTGCATGGGGATGTTTTGATGAATTTAATCGTTTGGAAGAACGTATGTTATCAGCTGTATCACAACAAATTCAAACAATTCAAGAAGCACTTCGTCAACAATCATCAGCAAATAAAAGTATAAGTTTCCATGAACTATTTCTGTTTTGAAATAAATCGAAATATAAAATTTTAGGTACATTAAAAATTGAAATTGTTGGTAAAACTATTACAGTTAATTCTAATATGGCTATTTTTATTACTATGAATCCTGGTTATGCTGGTCGTTCGAATCTACCTGATAATCTTAAAAGTCTATTTCGTAGTTTAGCTATGACAGTACCCGATAAAGTTCTTATTGCACAAGTTATGCTTTATTCTCAAGGTTTTCGTGATGCAGAAATTTTATCCAAAAAAATTGTTCCTTTATTTACATTATTAAGTGAACAATTATCTAATCAATCTCATTATGATTTTGGTTTACGTTCACTTAAAAGTGTACTTGTTATGGCTGGAAATATTAAACGTGAAAAAATAAAAAATAATACTCAAGATGAAGATGAACAAGAAGTAAATCCTTTTCTTTTTTTATTTAAAACAAAAACAAACATAATATCTCAATTTAGATTGTTATACAAGCCATTATGGATAGTTTTGTTCCACGTCTTGTTGCAGATGATTTAGTTCTATTGAATAGTTTATTAAATGATGTTTTTCCTAATGCAAAATATAATCGACCATCAATGACTCGTCTTCGAGAAGAAATTGAAAATGTTGCTAAAGAAATGTTTCTCGTTTGTGAAACATTATGGGTTGAAAAAGTATTACAATTGTATCAAATAACAAATCTTAATCATGGTTTAATGTTCGTTGGACCAACATGTTGTGGTAGGACAATATTAGTTATTTAACATAAAAGAAGCTTTTTTGATAATGAAAAAATGAAATGTTGTTAGAGAAAAGATTTCGAATAAGTAAACCACCCACACTCACCCTTAATTAATATTCTTTAGGATAGATAAGAGTTTCGATCTTGAGGGTGTGGGCGGATGTGGGTATCTATCTTCTGTTAATCCGCACCCAAACACCCTCATATGACTAGTTACGATCAATTTTCAGGAATAGTATCTGAAGCTAATATTTCTACTAGCGATTAATAATAGTTTGATGAGATTATCTATAAATCTATTGATGAAAATTATATTTTATTTGAATAGGTAAAACAATGGCATGGCGTGTTTTATTAACTGCATTAAATCGAATTGAAAATTCTGATGGTCAAGCACATATTATCGATCCAAAAGCCATATCAAAAGATGATCTTTATGGATATATGGATCAAAATACACGTATATTTGTTTTAAACGAATGATTGAATATATTTGTTTTGTTGATTACATAAATAGGAGAATGGACGGATGGTTTATTTACACATATTTTACGTAAAATCATCGATAATTTACGTGGTGAATTATCTAAACGACAATGGATTATATTTGATGGTGATGTTGATCCTGAATGGGTTGAAAATTTAAATTCAGTTCTTGATGATAATAAATTATTAACATTACCAAATGGTGAACGTCTTGCTTTGCCACCTAATGTTCGAGTTGTACGTATTTCGATTTATTTACTTAATGAAAAGAATTTGTTCTTTTAATTTAACTTATATTTAAGATGTTTGAAGTTCAAGATTTACGTCATGCAACATTAGCTACAGTATCTCGTACAGGTATGGTTTGGTTTAATCAAGAAACTGTCACATCAGCTATGTTACTTCAATATTATTTAAATCGTATTCGACAAGAATCTGTTTTTGATATAATTAATCAAGATGATCCAAATAGTAAAGATACTGTTATACAATCATCTGAAGAAAATAAAACAAATATATTAGAAATACAAAACCATTTAGCTGATTTATTAGAACCATATTGTAATAAAGAAAATGGTTTAATTCTTGATACATTAGAATATGCCGGAGAAAAACAAGTACATATTATGGATTTTATACCAGCTAGATGTTTACAAACACTTTTCTCAATGCTTAATCATGTTCTACGAACAATTATTAAACGACAATTATTTTCATCTGATCGAACACCATTAAGTGAAAAACAAATTGAACAATATCTTGTAAAATCATTAATTATTTCAATGATATGGTCATTTTCAGGTGATAGTAAATTAAAATATCGACAACAATTAGGTGAATTTATTATGAATACAATTAAAAATAGTAATATAACATCACCAGCTGATAAAAGTTTGCCAATTGTTGATTTTGAAGTAATGAATTATTTTTTGAAAAAAAATAAAAATTTTTATCTTTTTTCTTTCAATTGAAAGGTTAATTCCGAAGGTGAATGGGAATCATGGTTATTAAAAGTTCCATCAATTGAACTTGAAGGAAGTAAAGTTGATGCAAGTGATTTAGTTATACCAACAATTGATACAATTCGACATGAAACACTTCTATATACATGGCTTAATGAACGTAAACCTCTTCTTCTTTGTGGTCCACCTGGAAGGTTAAATTATTTAATCAATAATAATTCATTTTTGTTAATCAGTTCTTCTTGTATTTTAGTGGTAAGACCATGACTTTATTTAGTGCACTTCGTTCATTACCAGCATGTGAAGTTGTTGGTTTGAATTTTTCTTGTGCTACAACACCGGAATTAATTCTAAAAACATTTGCACATTATTGTGAATATAAAAAAACAGCTACATCAGGTGTTGTTCTTGCACCAAGTCAATTAGGCAAATGGATTATTGTATTTTGTGATGAAATTAATTTACCTGATGAAGATAAATATGGTACACAAAGAGTAATTGCATTTTTAAGGCAATGTATCGAACATGGTGGATTTTATCGTACATCAGATCATACGTGGATACGTTTAGAAAGAATTCAATTTGTTGGTGCTTGTAATCCACCTACAGATCCAGGAAGAAAACCATTAACACATAGGTAAATATAGATTGGCCTATGAACAAAAACTACATTTCTTTTTTTAAGATTTTTACGACATTGTCCATTAGTTTATGTGGATTATCCAGGTGAAATATCATTAAAACAAATTTATGGTACATTCAATCGAGCAATGTTAAAAAAATTTAATAATATTAAATCATTTGCTGATGCATTAACAAATGCTATGGTTGAATTCTTTCTTCTAACACAAGTAAATTGAAGATGATTGATTTTAATTAAAAATAAAAGTTTCTTTTTATTTAGGAACAATTTACTGTTGATCAACAACCACATTATGTTTATTCACCTCGAGAAATGACTCGATGGGTATAGAAAATTAATTTAGAAGAGACAATATTATACATATATATTTAGGTTCGAGGTATAAATGAAGCTATTCGACATGTAAAAAGTTTGAATGGTGAAGAATTAGTTCGACTTTGGGCACATGAAGCATTACGTTTATTTCATGATCGGTAAGAAAGATATTGAATAATTTTTTTTGTATATAAATACCTCTGTGAACTATTTAGATTGATATATGATTATGAACGTCAATGGACAGAAAAAGCTATTGATGATATAGCTGCTAAACATTTTAGCAATGTTGATTTAAATACAGCATTAAAACGACCGATTTTATTCAGTGATTGGCTTGCTGGACATTATGCATCGATTGATGAAGATGAATTAAGACAATATATTCAAGGACGATTAAAAGTATGATTGAAGTTTTGTTTTATTTAAAAATATTATTATCGTTTTTTTCCGTTATCAAGACTTATTATGAAGAAGAAGTTGGAATTCAATTAGTTCTTTTTAATCAAGTACTTGATCAAGTCTTGAGAATTGATCGAGTTTTTCGACAACCACAAGGTCATCTTTTACTTATTGGTTTATCTGGTACAGGCAAAGCTACTCTATGTCGATTTGTTTCATGGCTTAATCAAATAGATTTTTTTCAATTAAAAGTAAAAGAAATTTAAAAATAAAAATGAGTTATTTTGATTTTATAAATATATATAGGTACATAATAAATATACAGCTGCTGATTTTGATGACGATTTACGTCAATTATTACGTCGTTCGGGTTGTAAAGGCGAGAAAATTGTCTTTTTACTTGATGAATCAAATGTAATGGATAGTAGTTTTCTTGAACGGATGAACACTTTATTAGCGAATGGTGAAGTACCTGGTTTATTTGAAGGTGATGAATATTCGGCATTGCTAAATTTATGTAAAGAAGGTGCACAAAGACAAGGTCTTATGTTAGATTCAAATGATGAATTATATAAATGGTTTACAATACAAGTAAATTATTATTTATATTATTGAATTTACTTTTGTTTTGTTTTCTAAGGTTATGAGAAATCTTCATGTTGTTTTTACAATGAATCCAAGTGCAAATGGTTTACGTGATCGAGCATCAACATCACCAGCTTTATTTAATCGTTGTGTACTTGATTGGCTTGGTGATTGGTCTTTAGATGCATACTATCATGTTGCTAGTGAATTAACACAAAATGTTGATATACAAAAAGCTGATGTAATATTTCATATGAATGATTTTACAAGAATAAAAATCATTTTTATTTCTTTTAGTATGTTGCTCCAAAAACATTAACTCGTTTAGTAGCTGGTTTACCAGTAGAACCATCTTATCGTGATGTAATGAATAATGCCTTTGTTTTTGTTCATCAATCATTACATAAATTAAATGATACATTACGTAAAAAAGGTTCAACAACAAAAACAATTGTCATAACACCAAGTCATTTTCTCGATGCAATTCAACATTTTGTAAAAAGAATTTTAATTTAATCAAATTTTTCTTATGTTATAATTTTATGTTTTTCTGTAAATATTTAGATAAAAATAACAGTAGAAAAACGAACTGAAATTGAAGAAACTCGTCAACATTTAATTGTTGGTCTTGATAAAATTCATGAAACTGTTGTTCAAGTTGAACAATTACAAGCATCACTAGCAGATAAACGAAAAGAATTAAATGATAAAAATGAAGAAGCTAATTTGAAATTGAAACAAATGATTCATGATCAACAAGAAGCTGAAAAAAAACGAATTAGTTCACAAGAATTACAAGTTGTTCTAGCTGTATGTATTAATTTAATATTTTCTTTCCAAACTTTATTGTCTTATTTTTCTCTCTAATAGCAACAACAAGAACAAATAGTTGAAAAACGTAAAACAGTTATGATAGATTTAGATAAAGTTGAGCCAGCTGTTCAAGAAGCTCAACAAGGTTATATTACATATAATTTATTTATTCCTATCTATCTATAAATATATCTATTTTGTAGCTGTTAAATCAATAAAGAAACAAAATTTAGTTGAAATAAAAAATTTAAATAATCCACCACAAGGTGTTAAAATAACACTTGAATCTATATGTTTATTACTTGGTGAAGAAACAACTGATTGGAAATCTATTCGTGGTATAATGATGCGTGATAATTTCATTTCAACAATTGTTAATTTTGAATCTGATAATATTACGTAAGATTTGTCTTATTATATTTAATTAATATGAATTCTTTTTTTCTCTATAGACCAGCTATTGCAAATAAAATGAAAAAAAACTATATAAATAATCCAGATTATTCATATGATAAAGTTAATCGAGCATCAGCTGCATGTGGTCCATTAGTTAAATGGGCAACAGCACAATTAACATATGCTGATATGTTAAGTAAAGTTGAACCATTACGAAATGAATTAAAAAATTTAGAAAACGAAGCCGAAAAAAAAGTTGCTGATATGCAAGCAACAAATGATTTAATTACAACACTTGAAACAAGTATTGCACAATATAAAACTGAATATGCTGATTTAATATCAGCTGCACAAGCAATTAAAACCGATCTATCACATGTTGAATCTAAAGTTGAACGATCGATAGCATTAATTAAAAATTTAAGTTTAGAAAAAGTACGTTGGGAATCAACAAGCGAAAGTTATCAAACACAATTAGCAACATTAATTGGTGATGGATTTTTAATATCAACATTTTTAGCTTATACTGGTTATTTTGATCAAATGACAAGACAAATACTTTTTCAACAATGGCAAAACCATTTAGATAAAGCTAAAATACCATATAAACATGATTTAGCTCGTGTTGAAGTAAAATTTAATTAGAAAAAAGAAACAGTTTTTATTTTTTAATAATTATATTTAGTATGTATCAACTGCTGATGAACGACTTCGATGGGAAATGAATTTATTGCCAAGTGATGACTTATGTCGTGAGAATGCTGTTATGTTAAAAAGTTTCACTCGTTATCCATTAATTATTGATCCAAGTGGACAAGCTTTTGAATTTCTTCATAGAGAATATCGAGAAAAAAATATTGTTCAAACAAGGTACAGTTTTACTTTAATACATTGATCGAAGCCTTGTGAGAACTAATCACTCGGTACTTCCCTTCAAGCATTTATACCTGCCCGAAGTGATCGGCCGCTATTACGGTACGGCGGTTCCAAAAATTACCCGGAACTAGAATCGCGGTTCTGGTTCGGTTTCATTTTTTTTGGAATTGCCGTACCCTACTTCCTTTAAACCTTCCTTTGGGTACGTCACGAGTTTCGCAAGACGTTACAATCATATCCTTGACTTTCAAATTTAATCTATAGATCTCAAAAGCAATTTTTTCTCTTTTATTTATTTAATATAGTTTTATGGATGCAGGCTTTCGTAAACAATTAGAGAGTGCACTTCGTTTTGGTACAACATTATTTGTACATGATGCAGAAAATTTCGATCCATTAATTAATCCTGTACTTATTCGTGATCTTCGACGAACATCTGGACGTGTTCTTATAACTATTGGTGATAAAGATATTGATTTTTCACCAACATTTCGAATGTTTTTATTTACACGTGATTCTGATGTAAGATTAAATATTTTCTGTATATATATTTTTTTTGTATTGTTGATCATTTAGGCCGAATTTGGACCAGATATATGTTCACGTGTAACATTTGTTAATTTTACAGTAACACGATCAAGTTTACAATCTCAATGTTTATATAAAATCTTACGATCTGAACGACCAGATATTGATTCAAAACGATCTGATCTAATGAAATTACAAGGAGAATTTGCAGCTAAATTACGTCATTTAGAAGATAATTTACTCAAAGTATTAAATGAATCCGAAGGAACCATACTTGATAATGACAAGTAAAAAAACAACATTTTTTATTTAATAATATCTTTAATATATATGTTTAATCTATTAGAGTAATTGCTACATTAGAAAAAATAAAAACTGAAGCATCAGAAATAATGCAAAAAGTTGAAGAAACTGATATTGTTTTAAATGAAGTTGAAAAAGTTTCACATGAATATTTACCAATGGCTAAAGCATGTAGTAGTATTTTCTTTACACTTTCATCATTATCAACAGTAAGACATAAATCATAATAGATAATTTTGAAAATTTTTGTTTTAATAGATTCATATGCTTTATCAATATTCATTAAGATTTTTTATGGAAATCTTTGAACATATTCTTTATCATAATAAACGTTTAGAATCAATTACTGATACAACACAACGATTAGATATTATATTAAAAAGTTTATTTGAAACAATATTTATTCGTGTTTCACGTGGTATGTTACATCGAGATCGAATAACATTAGCTGTACAATTAACAAGAATTTATTTAAAAAATATTATTGGGTATATTAATATTTCTTTTTCGTATGTCTTACTTAATAGATAAATATATATATTTAGTGAAAATATGACATTTGAAGATGAGTTTTTTGAAATGGCTCAAGTATTAGAAGAAAATTCTGATATGCTTAATATACAAAATAAGTTATCTGATCCACAAGTAAATGTTCATTTAGATTTTTTCTTATTTAATTCTGATTTATTAATAGAAACGTGCATTATCGCATTTAACTACGAATATTCCATCGTTTAAAAATCTTGAACGACAAATTGCATCGAATTCTGATGCATTTGATAAATGGTTAAATAGTAATGATTTAACAACTCGAGTTCCTGTTGTTTGGGAAAATAATGGCGATAAAAAAAATGAAATCAATACTGCAGTATATTCGTAAGTTTTAATTTTATAGAAAATCTTTCGTATGGTCTATATCCACCTGTCTGATTTGTGAAAAGAAAAATGAATATATTTTCTGGTCAGTAAAATAAATGAAATGGTCAGAAGAGGTAAAAAATCGTCAGTTCAGTCAAATAATTGGGTTTTCAATATTTTTTAAAATCAGTCAATTGAATTAAAGTGTAGTTATACAGAGATCGAAATGCGCTATTGCATCATTCTCACACCCGTCCACATTTAATGCAAAATATTTGTTGCAGAATTAATAATATCTTTAGAATTATAGAATTTATGATACCAAACAGTTAAATCAACAAAAAGTGTAGTTTGCGCTCTAAATTATGCTTGACGAACACCATATAGAGATGCACTGTCGTGCATGTATTTGTCAAAATATTCTTGAGGGTATGGGTGTGGATGTGGGTGGATGAAAAGTAAAAGTAACCACGGTCACAGCCATACGCACACTGTTCGCCTTGTACAGTTGTACATTAGAATACATTGAAATCATGGTTGATTTATTTCTCAGAGTAGAATATTTCAAAATTGATGAAATAACAAAGAAAGTCTATTCATTTGCACGATTTCGTTGTTTAAAAATCAATAATAAATCTTAAGTATTATCTTATATACCGAAAACATAATAAAAAAAGAGCTAAAAATCTTAATTAGATTAGAAAAAGTATTTTATTGATTTAGTTTATCGTAATTTATATTTTTATTGATAGAAATTTAGTGTAGTAAAAGATATTAGCTACTTACGAATCAATACTTGAATTTTCGTTGAACAATGTTTAGCAGATTGTGAAAGTGACTTCTCTCTTTACCATCATTCTCATGACAATACTCACATCTTCAAGTATACTTTTTCTCAAAGCATCAGTAGTAGGCTATTTATTTTCAAAGCGAGGATTTTATTGATTAAGCAAAGCGAATGATCTAATTTTGAACAGATTAGAAAAAATAATTAAGCATATGAAACTTTTCTATATTGTTTTACATATCCAAAACTAATGTTTTGAACTTTGAGCAATTGTAATACATATAGTTCAATGCATCCAGAAAAGTTCCATAACTAGAAATGTTATTATTAAATGATGAATTATTGTCCAATATATGGATATACTGATGTATTTGTCAATATTATCCATAATCGCAATGTTTTGTTGACATTCATACTATCGAGCCAGCGTAAATAGCAGTTCGTATCGTATAATGTTTTATAAGCGTAATGTTTTGAGTAGAGTAGTAAAATGTTAATGAATAAATAGAGGTTAGTCATCGATAAACCTTAACAAGGCAAGAGAACACTGACAGTGTTCGAACCAGAGTTTGCAACAATAATATCAGGTTTGTTGTCGTTATTCACATCGACGA